CTGAAAAAATTGTTCCACCAAGAGCTCAGCGCAATGAAAATAATAAATATAGAATCAATAAATGTAGAAAATTTATAATTGAAAAATATGGAATATTGTGAAAAAACACAAACAAAAACCAACACAAAACGATCGTAATTTAATAAATAAATAAAAAAAACGTTCATTAAGATGAACCTGGTACGATTTCTGTACTCACAACAGCACAGATAAGTGGGATGAAATAAATCATAATGAAATTTGCCATTTTCATTATTTTGATCCTTTCGATTTTTCAAATAAGACTGAAGCATTTGTATTGCGAAAATACTTTATTTATGCCAGTATTATTGTCACAATTATCAGCTATTGATATCGTCAACAATATTCATTGCAAGCTAATGCAAATATCCAATTGTTTATTTACGGTAAATTAAATGGAAAAGTTCATGGCTGTGCAAGGTTTCTATTTTCATTCGATTGTATGATAATGAAATTGAGACATTAGTTTACAATATGTTGAAATCAAGAGACAACACGAAAAAAATTAAGGTCAGAATAATGACATCGTCGTATTGCACTTCAAACAACTGCAGTGTGAATTAGCTTAGTACAACAATTTGCGTTATCAAAAATTTTTCATATTAGCGCAGTATGAAGTTGATTAACAAATTCTCTTTTTTTTCTTTGATTGCTAATCAAGTTGCTAATCATCCAAATAGAGTTCAATGATTTTTTTTTTCAAATTCAAAAGAGCCATAGTTTTAGTTGAATGAACTCAAGAAAAAAAACTTAATTTTATTGTTTTAATCAAAAAAAGTTACTTATACATTTAATAAATAATTAATTTGAATCAAAGCAAAAATGTAATAAAAAACTGAAAGAGAATTTTTTACTTGTCGATGTTCACCGAAAATTCATAGCACAATGAATCACCAACATATACTTGATTCCTATGCTTATATGGATTTTCAATATATCCAGTTGGAAGAACTACACTTTCCCGTTCAGCATTGTATTTTAGATGATGTTTAACATCGATCGAAGTTTGGAGAAGAAATTCCACCAAAATACGTTCTGTTTCCTCTGAAATATTTTTGTAACGTTCAAACGAACAATTTATCTGCACATTGAACATTTTTTCACACATTTCTGATATAACATTCAAGAGAATTGGATCATTGGCAACATTCAAAAGTTCAGCTTGAGTGGTGTTATATTGTTTTGCATATTTAGCTAAATTCAAATTTGGAAGAACAATACCACGGACCGCTTGCATAACACATAGATCTTCGCATAAATTTCTTGCCTGGAAAATAAAGAAAGTAGTTTCTATTGCTATTCGTACTATATTTTTGTTCAAAAGAGCTTACTCCGAAATGTGTAGGAGGAAGTGGACGAGAAAAATCATTTAGATGTTTATTCAATGATTTCAGAAATATTTTTACTTTGCCGCCATAAGATGTTTCACAACGATTCAAATATACAAAAACATCTCCAATGAAGTTTCTCATTAAATTCCTTCCATAAAGCTTGATCGCATTCCAAGCATGAATATCATTAACATTTCTGGACAAAGACGCAATGGCACATTCCAATTTTGCCAGATAATTTTCAAAACATAAGTTTGGAAGTAATTCGGGCTCATAACTGGAGTTATAAAAGGGCTAAATATAACATGAAAATTTAGTTAGCAATATATCACACTGAATGCTGTTAAATCAATTTCTACTTGCTACAAACCGCGTATTTTCTTTCAGGATTAGGACCCATTTCAATCTGCGTATTAATGAGAAAAGTTAAATAAATAATAAAAAAATGATGATATGAAAGTACCCTACCTCTATCCATTGATGAAGATCTTTGTGTGCTATATAATGTCAATCAGAATAATTGAATTAATTGAAAAGTAAAACGTCAATTTTTATTCAAATCACCTGTTGTAATTGAATTATTTGAATCAGATGGAATGGAACTAACAGCTGAGAGTATCGTTGTAGTGAATATGATATTTAAATATATTTTAAACGGTACAAAGCTGCATATGCAACGATTTATTTTAAACTGTTCAACTTCAACTTTAGCTACCATCATTTATAATAGGTATTTCGAATTGAATGCCGCATTTCTGTCTTAAAATCTCGTTTGTCCACTCTTCTTCATCCGTAACCCATACCCGATATACGTTTACGTACAACAAATGCGTGGCATCTTGACTTTATTTTTGTCATACAACAAAACATCTTGTTCATTCTGTCCACACCGGTTTTTTTTTGAGGTCATTGACCTGGTATTGTAACGCAATAAGGGTAAAAGAGACAGCGCATACACAACAGACTACATAGCGAGCATAGTATGTGCGCACACAACAGACTCAATGCTTTACTGCGGCACTCAAAGCGCCTGCATAAATATATTTTAACATTATAGATAAACAAATAAATGAAAAAGAACTGAAATGTCGCTTTCAGGTGTAGCTAATACTAATATTACAAAATCAGTACGATGTTCGACCGGTTTGAATGTCATCAGCTTTTCTAATTGTTTTTTTTTTCTCATTCGTTAGTTAAACATGCGCGTAATTGTATTGTCTTATTTTACATTTTACTTTGAATATCTTTGTATTATGTTTATTTCTATTATTTCTTTCAGTATTGATTTAGTATTAAATATTTTTTGCAGCTATCGTAAACGTATACAAAGAATTATCGAAAACATACAAGAATACAAAGAATTATCTTTTCTATAAAAATCAAAAGGTTAATAACCTGAAAAATTAAATATAATCGATTGACGTATGCACAGAATGCATGCATACGATCAATTTGCATTCATCTAGTTCCTTTGTTTTTGTTTCCTTCTTTCGTGCCATCGACATTTCTTTCCCGATGGGTGGTAGATCTTTTGAGACTTATATTTACACAAAGAGGAAGCCATCGAATGCATGTGCAATGTAATTGCACTACGCATGCGTTAACTTAAAAATAATATGCATGCGTCAACCAAACAGCATCATGCCCGAAATCAGTTTCAAAGAGAAACAACACCGATTTGAGAAACAAAGTGCCACAAAGCAAGTTTCGGCTTTAAACTGCAACATGAATCGTTATGTTGCACTTTGATTCTCACATTTGCTTTGTGTCGCTTTGGTTCAAAAATGTGCGTTGTTGCTCTTTGTTCGTACACGAATGTCATGTTTCGATTCAATTCTCAAATATTCTGAGGGAATTTTTTCTCCGCACCGGTTCATTTGTAAATTGTCCATATCAAATAAATAGTCTTCGCCCGGGAATGACATAAAATTAAATATTTTGCTCTATAAAAGTTTTTTTATATATATATTAATATATCCAAAATATTAGGAAAACAACAGTTTATTATAGATATCAAATATGTTATAATGCATAAAGTGAAAAAAAATAGCAGAAAATAGCTGAAAATAGTGCGTTAACAACTTGATGATTGGAATCATCAATATTGGTGATTGGTGTGTTTCAGATTCCCTCCACTGCAGAGTACTCGGGCGCTGTACGCAATTTTTTTGAAGGCACCCTTCTGAATGAATGACATGTCTATTAGTGAGACGTAAAAGAACGCAAGTTTGTCCAACTTCGTAGCAATAAAGAGAAGTATGTTTCATTGCAACAAAAAATGGTTAAAAGAATGTATGTTCATTGTTGGCGGGTTGTCGCGGTTTTTCACGGTTTCCGCGGAACTGATAAGAGATAACAAGTTGGTGTTTTCGGCAAAGTTGTAGTTCTTAAGATCTATTATAACATTGCTGAAGACACTTATCTCTAATCTCTTATCAGTCTCGCGGAAAGCGCGAAAAATGATAACAAAAAAAAACTCCTATACAAATTTTGCGTTTTTTGGTGCGCGATTTCCGAATGAAATCGAAAGCACACCAGTCATCAATGAGCTCATCGATCGCCGACCCAACACAATAGTTATCAACGACTTGGCTATGTTTAAATCCTCAAAGGAATTGTACCCCATGGTGCAGCCGTACATCGACATTCAACCAAAGGGCGCTAAATCCCAACACTGTCTAGCTCATATGCTATAGCAATGTTTGACGTTTAGAACTGCTGTGGAAACTTTGTTTGGAGCGCCACCAACCACAAATCTCTGTAACTATACGTACGTGTGAAAGTAAAGTCTTTGTGTGTACGTTCGTGTGAATGCAAAGAGTCTATGTGTGCGTTGTACACAGAGGTGTTGATTCGTTCGAACGTTGCATCATGTTAGGTGGCGCTATTGATATATGATTGCTTCAATCGTCAACAAAATACATCAAGTATTTCTCCGTTTTGCTAAATCCAAACTCTAACTTACCAAAAAGCAACTGAAATACCAGACGAGAAAAATAATGACACAGTGAAAAAACAGTTCAGACAATTCCCAGTTGATACACGATTCAATCTGATTTTTGTTTTATTTTTTAATTTAGGAAAAAAAAACTTGGACCATGTGAATGAAATAATCTCCACTTTGGTTGGTTCGTCTTTTGTTTATCGAAAAGTAAATGCCTGTTCAATTGATTGTTTACTGGAAAAAAATTGATGGCAATAAATTATATGAAAAATTATGCGTTTATTGTTTTTTTCTAAACGAATTTCTAAATAAAAACAACTTTCTTTTGTAGTTCTATTTCTTGAGCCAATTCGTCCAGTGCGATATTCATAGCCGTGTCTGGTCGGTCGATAGGAGTGGATAATTACCACTATTTTGTTTTGGAAAATTCAATGTGACACCAGTCGCTGGCTTGAAATCGGCGAATGTATCTGACACAAATTCCGAATGATTAAAATAATCATAGGAATTTACAGCGAATGCCGTGATACCAACTAAATTACGTTTCATGGCAAATCGAACTTGGTTCGCAATTGAACGGGCCGATTCAAAGCGAAGGGTATCGTTTTCAATCAGACTAACTGCAATTGGTTCGGGCCATTGGCGGCTGTGTCCGTTTTTTTTAACAAAAGAATAATTATGTAATAAATAAAAAGAAACCACAATTCATTACAAATTTGCTTTCTTTATTCGAAGCTTTTGAGATTGTGACAAAATTGCACCTGAGTTGAATAAATAACATATTTTTCATGGTAATTTCATTTACATAGTAAACATTGGAATGAATTATCGCATCTTATTTACAAAAGTGTTTGGCTCAGTCTCAAATTTGCAGGTTCATTCTGACGGAACGAAAACTTTAATTGTTCCCTTGTGGAATTGTATAATCAAATCTGAAATGAAAATGGAATATTGTATGCATCAGTGAATATTGAATCAACATAACTTCAATATTGTTAATATGGCAAGTAAATTTACAGACTTTTTTATTACCGAATGTAAGCTAAAAATCGACTTGAATTTTGTGCAAATTCTTGCAATTCTTCGGCCGTCATGGTTGGTCTCAAGTGATTTTCTAACCATCGGGCGGCAATGTTAGCTTCAAACCAGTCTTTGGCATTCTCCCAATCATCTCCAACCAAAATCAGTCTGCACACTGGACACGCGTAGCGATGTGCTAGCCCAATCCTTTGTGCCTGGTCAGCAAAACAGCTCGCATGGATTGCTGTGTCAGTGCATCGTATACAGTGAATCATATACTCCGGGAACGAGACACCAGGATTTGAATTCAAGCAGATAACACACTCCATTCAAAATGAAGTTAAATAAAAACTTATCAAACAATTCGTGCAAACAACTTTTTTATTGGATCTCAAATAAATGACAGCGGTTTGTTTACATTTTAAATGTCATCTAATTGACATTTGTAATAGAAATGCAAAGATTCAAAATTTCATTCCATTCTTTTTCCCCCGCAATACGCGTGAAGTCTATGTCCGTCGGGGGAAAATGGTCCTCCGTCAATTTTTTCTAGTCTTTGAAAGAAAACAAAACAAAGCAAGTCACGATTAGACTAGAGACAAATAATAAGAATAACAAATCAATGCTTACTCCGCATTCAATTCAGACCATCGTTTCTTAGCTGCCTCTATTTTCTGTGATATATACCACATACTTTCAAATTCAGCCTGACGTTGGGGATCTGAATGTACAACTTCTGGTGGTCGTGGAAATTGAGCTTCCGTTTCGGCAATTTTAGCTGCATATTCATCCCATGACCAATGAGGAAACCACTTCTCAATAGTTGCACGTTCTCTTTTCTCACTCTCCTTTCGTGACAATTGGAATTCTCGTATCATACCAGCAACCGCGTTTCCAGTCGATTCACATTCAAATTTCTCCTGCTTCGCGTTGGTATCCATAACGACGTTTTTATTTGATTTCAATTCGATTGAAAAGTTTTAAAATTTCCAATTTAATTCTCAATCAAACAGCAAACCAGTTTCAATGTTTACAAATGTTTTTCAACACAAAGAGAATGTTTATGTGTCACTACGCGTAAATTTCCGTACATTTTCATTATGAACACATTGGCGCTAGTGTCTGCGTTCATTGTCATGTGTATTGGTGAACTGTCAAACATTTGAAATAACAAATTTGCGCCTTGCAACAAAACATCACATCATCCAGTTTAGCGGAGTGCAACAACAAAATTCGCAACAATTGCGATTGAATTGTAAGCATGGTGTGCATGAACGAGCTCTTGGTGCAACTAAAGATTTCGAATAATATGGATTTCTGCAGCGATTTGGCGAACATTCAGTCGATTTTCAACTACGCAAATGAGTACATCAAACCATTGACAAAGATTCGATTCCGAGGAGGTGAGTGTGTTTGGTTCATCAATAAAACTGTCACTTTTCCAATGAAGTCAGTTGCTGTGCATATTATTCAAACTGTTTTCGTCAATTCATCATTTTTTTTCTTCCTCTAAAATCAATAGGCAATGAACCGTACATAGCGGATATCGTCGCAAAGGTGTTGGCACTTTTCAATCGAAAAGGCTATTTTGATGCGGCCACCTCCCGACCGTTGCCTGAATACGATGAACAATTGCGGAAAATTGTATTCTACCTTATGTTGAACACCGAAGCCACTTTCAAGTACGATCTGATTACGGATCACAGTGTGTGCCACTTGCTGAATACACTGCCTGCACTGCCGAAGGCACTTTTACATGCGTGCATTTGGGGTCTACATCTTGAGTGACACTTTTGCGACATTATTGCATACACACCGATCTGGTTTGCGTATCAGTTCATCGACAATGTGGTGGAAAGTCTGAAATATGCCGATCCCTACGAGACGTTAGAGCGTGTGGATCAATTGGTACATGCTGTGTACACAAATATCGCACGCTCGGATTTCCGTCAAATGGAGGCAGTGGACAAAAAAATCATTCTCAACAAATACTTCGATGTGACAATGGATTTGATGCGCCACTTCTATTCGCCGGATGCGGAAAAGTTTGAGAAATGGTCGAAGAACAAATATCGCAAGTAACTCTAAGCAATCGATTCAATTGTCGCATGATTTATTAAAATAATTGTTCCAATGTGCAGCCTGAAGCGTATCTGAGCCATTTAATTGGGCATGAGGGAAAAGGCAGCATTTTGTCGGAATTAAAAAGCCGCGGTTGGTCCAACAGCTTGTTAGCTGGCCATAATACGCTGGCGCGTGGCTTTGGATTCTTCGATATCATGGTGGATTTGACACAAGAAGGATTTGAGAACATTGACGAAATTATCAAAATCATTTTTCAAGTATGTATCAAATGCGATTGATTTGAAACGGATAGACTTTCCATTGAGAGAAAGCATCGAATCAAATTGTTTTCATTCTGAATTTGATTCAAAGTCTTGATCGACATTGTTCAATGTTTAATTCAAATTCTATTTACAGTATATCAACATGTTGCGAATGTTGGTCCGAAGAAATGGATTTTCGAGGAGTATTTGAATTTGAGCGAAATGCAATTTCGGTTCAAAGACAAAGAGACCGCTTTGCTGTTGGTCTCGAGTGTGGTGCATTCAATGCGATTGTATCCGATGGAAGAGGTGTTGACTGCACCGTATTTGATCAGTGACTGGCGACCAGACCTTATTCAGAATTTGATGGACGATTTAGTCGTTGTTGGCCAAAAAGTCGAACCAATTTGTAATGAAATCGAATATTGGTATGGAACGAAATATCGATCGGAGCCAATTTCCGAAGATGTCATCGAGGTAAGGATCATATTGATGAAATCTGTCATCACAATTATCTTCTTTGTTTCAATTCAAAGGAGATTCTTTAAAGGGAACCTGAAGATAAAATTTATTCATGAAATCTTGCCTCACATTGTAGGATTGGAAGAGTTGTGGTCTAAATGAAAATTTGAGTTTTCCAATGCCGAATCCGTTCATACCAACCGATTTTGAGCTATGCACCGGAGAATCAGAAGTCAAGCCATATCCAGTTATTCTACACGACACACCGATCATGCGAGTGTGGTACAAACAAGATACCGAGTTCAAAAAACCGAAAACAATCATGAATTTTGACTTCTCCAGCCCGATGGCTTATTCGGATCCACTCAATTGCAATTTGACACACATGTTTGTTCAGCTGTTCAAAGATGAACTGAACGAATATTTGTACGAGGCTGAACTGGCCGGTTTGCGATTCGGAGTGAGCAACACATCAAATGGGATTAGTGTGAGTGGGCAACTACCTTGAGTCTAACGAGCAGATTTTTGAAGCTACATTGCAATTCTCCATTGCACATATCGCAAAAAATCGTCATTAAAATTTGTCAACATTCGATTCATTGACATTTAGATATAATCCAATTTAGTAGATGTAACTTGCCGGTTTCATCCATACCGGTTTTTTGAGGTCAATGACTTGTATGGATAAAAGTGGGAAAAAACATCTGCTCCAATTAAATGAATATAATTATAATGAGAGAAGAATGCAAAAAAAAAACGATAATAATTAATTATTGCGGAAGGTAATGTTTCAAGCAGACGCATGCATCTGTATTGAAGTAACACCACCCGTTTACATGAGTTGACAGACAATGTGATAAACAGAAAAGACGGCAAAGAAAAAAATGTCATTCGAATTGCAAATGAAAAATTTCTAAGAAAAAAGTTGCCTTTGCTCTTTTTGTTTTCAATTTTAAGTAGTCATTGTAATTTGAAAACTTCTTACGAATACATGGGATCAAGCCAATCAAAACTGATTATCGCTATGAAGTTGCGAAATGGAAAAATATATCAAATCGAAAGTGAGCAACCATTTGAAGATGAGCTTGGTGAAGGTGAGCAATCATTTGAAAATGAACCTGGAACCAGTGGTGTAGTGATGCCGGTCAAATTTTTCATTGCTTCAATTGCAGGTATTTTTATATTATAAAAAAAGATTATAATTTTAATTATAGATCTATTTTATTACGTTTATTGATTATAATCATAACATATAAAACTCTGAATGATTCTAGCGGTTGGAAACATTTTTATCTATTGAATAAATAAGGAAATTACTAAATATATTGAATAAATAAGTTTACCACACACCACTGTAAATTGATTTCAAATGTCGTGCGTATAGAGTGAAAATTCCATTTTTTTGTGCAAAATATGTCATTTCTCAATGAACTTTCACACAATTTACAATCTTTTTCACTTCAATCATAATTTTCTAGAACAAACATGACATTTTTTTAACCCAATGATTTAGGTTAGAAAGCATACTTTTCTTAAACAGACAACGATATTTTAGCTGAAACGTTGGTATTTTTAAATTAAAAAATCGAGTTTTAAGCTAGAAAATTCAATTTCTAACAAGAAAATTGATTATATTTACTGAAAAATTCAAATTCAGGATAGGAAAATTATGTTCTTGACTAGAAAAAAATTCATAAGATTTCCTGAATTTCCTCGGTCAGATGAGGGTCTAATGATAATTCAATTGATTCGAATCTACTTGTTTAATCAAATAATTCTCAACTTTAACCAAACTAAAAATGATTAGATGTAGTTTGTACATTACTGCCAAACCGGTTTTCGCCAACATATGGCTCGCCGACTTATGCTCTCGTAATGTACAAACCATAACTAATTAGCAGGTGTACGTGACCATAGCCCATTTAATTAAATAGGTATGTAAGTAGATGCATCATAATAAGCATAGCATATAAAAATGCAATTATACTCTTCACACACACACACGCACACTCACGCACGTGCGCGCATACCTAATTCCGCTGCGATCGTATGCATACGTTCTACGCATGTGCCAATTATTAACGTGAGATGTACCAAAAAAATCAATTTAATTGTGCAATTATCCTATCAATTTTTTTGTGGAAGCTAGACACAACTTCTTTTGGATAATTACGCAGATGGAACGAAAGAAACAAACGAACAAACTGTTCAGTTTTTCTCTTTGTTTACATTCTCGAAGCTTCATGTTGTTGCTATTCGCTTTCGTCATTTGCTTCGGTATTGATCTGATCATTTTTGATCATTTCAACATATTAGTTAACATCTCATCATTCAGTGACAAAGTATGAGAATTAGTCTACGGAAGGAATTAAAGAAAGAAAGAAAAACAACAACAATAACACATGAATTAACGTTAATGCGCGACCGTGTCGTTGTCTGCTTTAGCATCGACGGCAGCAACGGCAGCGATAAATGAACGTACGAATGAAGGAATGGATTGAGAGAAAGAAAAACAACAACAATAACACACGATCAACGTTCAAGTGAGGCCCATGTATTTCTTATGGGACTGTCTCTGCTTTGACGTGTGAATGAAATGTATGCATGGAAAAGTATTGTATCTGTGAACATTTAGTTATATTCAAACCGAAAATGTATTGAAATGGGAAAAAGGTGCGTTTATTTATGTAACATAATTCACCGAGTTTCGAATGTAAACAAACGAAGCTTTCATTTTTGTACGTTGCGCTGCGTCAAAAAATAAAAATTTGAAAAATTTATGATTTTTGATTATGGTTTCGTTTGATTGATGATTTTATTCAACAAATTTCAATCGATTTTCATGAAATTTGAGATTTATGTAGTCAATAGATAGACCATCGTTGTGAAATTAAAAATAGATTGAAAAAGTGAATAGTTTAAGTACATAAAAGACATATACTACTGTGTCCGAAAAGTAAGGTGACATTGCATTTAAAATTTAGCGCGCTGGGGAATTTGAAAAAATCCTTTTATTTTTAGGTTGGTAGGACTGTCTTTGACATCCCTGCCAAATTACACGTCAAAATATTCATTAGTGTTTGAGATACGCTTCGTTTTGTGGACTGCTAAAAGTGAATTTCTCGTTTTTTGCGATGTCGAAATTTGTTGATCAAAGAATTTGCATTAAATTTTGTTTGCGGAATCAATTTTCTGCTGCGGATTCGTTGAGGATGGTGCAGAAAGCCTTTGGTGATGAGGCTATGTCGAAAAAAAATGTTTACAAGTGGTATAGTGAGTTCCAAGCAGGCCGTGAATGTGTCGAAGACGAAGAGCGTGCTGGGCGACCATCAACCTCAACCGACGAAGCTCACGTCCAAAAAATTAAAGATTTGGTGTTGGAAAACCGTCGATTAACGATTAGAGACCTTGCTGATGATATTGGCATATCGAAAGGCTCAGTCAATACCATTTTGAAGGATGTTTTGGGCCTCAAACGCGTCAAATCTCGACTGGTACCGAAATCATTGAATTTTTTGGAAAAAAGGTGTCGAGTTGACGTGTGTGAAACAATGCTTTCTGACTACATTGACAAGACGAAATGCATGATCACTGGAGACGAGACTTGGATCTATGCTTACGACCCGGAAACAACCGACCAATCGAGCGAATATCGTGCCAAAGGTGAGCCGAGACCAAAAAAACCGCGCCAAAGTCACTCAAAAATCAAGGTCATGTTGACTGTTTTCTTCGATTATCGGGGTGTTGTGCATTATGAATTCCTTCCCCCGGGTCAAACAGTCAACAAGGAATATTATTTGAGTGTTATGCGTCGTTTGCGTAACGCTATCCGCCAAAAGAGGCCGGAATTGTGGAAAGACAACTCTTGGTTTTTGCACCATAATAATGCATCGTCTCACAATGCGATCATTCTTCGTGAACATTTCGCCAAAAACTCGACTCATATCGTTCCACAACCACCGTATTCACCTGATTTGGCACCGTGCGACTTCTGGCTGTTCAACAAGCTCAAAAGACCGCTCCGGGGACACCGTTTTGAGACGATAGAGCAGATTGAAGCCGCAGCGAAGACGGAGCTGAGGGCCATCCCTGAAGTCGACTTTTTCAACTGTTTCGAAGATTGGAAAATCCGTTGGCATAAGTGCATTGTATCGGGAGGGGATTACTTTGAAGGCGATGGAATTGATTTGGAAGAATAAATAAAGAATTTTCAAAATAAATGCAATGTCACCTTACTTTTTGGACACAGTAGTACAACCTTTTTGTTGCTATTTGAAATCATTTCAATTTTTTTTTTTCAAAATTTTTTATTTTCATAAATTGCTTCTTTTCTCTATTCAGAAATTAAAATAAAAATAGACATTTTTGTTTGATCATTGTATCGATAATTTTATTTTTGTACACTATATGTACATTATACACGTTCAATATTCTATTCACTTTCTGCGAAAGATGTTTTCCACTCATGGAAAGCGAAAAAGTAAATACTCGCAATACGTTTTAACATGCAGTCTGTTAATTCATTGCATGCGTACTCCTTACGTAAATCGAACTACCAATGCATCACACAGTCGATGATGTCCTCATAGGAAAGCCAATAATGTTGTGGGAATTTCCGGTCCAAAACTTTTACCATTAATTCTCCTAACATGAAACCGGTATGTGAATGAATGGCATTCACCATTGTTTTATATTCCACAAAACAGTTAGCAGATATCATTGATGGATATTTCCTCTTGAGGATTTCCATGTTTTTAACGATTTCCAACTCAAACAATTTCATGATTTTTATTAACGAGCGTTAACGAGTCAATGTTTATATCAATAGTATTTATTTAGTACTGAAATGTGAACAAAATGAGAACAAATCTCATAAAGAACTAACCTTGATGGGTTCTTTTGAACTCGAATATAAATTTTCGCAACAAAATTGATTCGCTTCTTTTCGCGAACAGATGAGTTCATATTCATGTGTTTTTTACGGATCGAATAAGAAATCTGTATGTTGAGTATGCTTACTTTTGTCATTATGGAACAGTATTAAGCTACCGTCTGGAGATAAGTCATCTTCATTTGGGGAAACTGATATCGGACACTGATCGTGACCGGCGCAGCACCTATGTATAATAAAAAATTCATTAGAGAAAATTTCTTATTCTAAAAACTAAAAGCTTCTTACCCGTCAATTCCATGCCACAGGGAAAGGTCTCTCGTCATCACCGGTAATGCATTCTTACCGCAATGCTTCGTTCCTGTAATGAAAACAATAAGGATATGGTCTGTGGTGAACGATATTCTTAAAAACGACATTAGTTAAGCTTAATGTGATTGGTCAAATTTCAATGACGCCGATATTGACAATAAATTACAAATTCTTCGTGAGAATGTTTTAAAAGCCAAATACTGAAAAAATTGTTCCACCAAGAGCTCAGCGCAATGAAAATAATAAATATAGAATCAATAAATGTAGAAAATTTATAATTGAAAAATATGGAATATTGTGAAAAAACACAAACAAAAACCAACACAAAACGATCGTAATTTAATAAATAAATAAAAAAAACGTTCATTAAGATGAACCTGGTACGATTTCTGTACTCACAACAGCACAGATAAGTGGGATGAAATAAATCATAATGAAATTTGCCATTTTCATTATTTTGATCCTTTCGATTTTTCAAATAAGACTGAAGCATTTGTATTGCGAAAATACTTTATTTATGCCAGTATTATTGTCACAATTATCAGCTATTGATATCGTCAACAATATTCATTGCAAGCTAATGCAAATATCCAATTGTTTATTTACGGTAAATTAAATGGAAAAGTTCATGGCTGTGCAAGGTTTCTATTTTCATTCGATTGTATGATAATGAAATTGAGACATTAGTTTACAATATGTTGAAATCAAGAGACAACACGAAAAAAATTAAGGTCAGAATAATGACATCGTCGTATTGCACTTCAAACAACTGCAGTGTGAATTAGCTTAGTACAACAATTTGCGTTATCAAAAATTTTTCATATTAGCGCAGTATGAAGTTGATTAACAAATTCTCTTTTTTTTCTTTGATTGCTAATCAAGTTGCTAATCATCCAAATAGAGTTCAATGATTTTTTTTTTCAAATTCAAAAGAGCCATAGTTTTAGTTGAATGAACTCAAGAAAAAAAACTTAATTTTATTGTTTTAATCAAAAAAAGTTACTTATACATTTAATAAATAATTAATTTGAATCAAAGCAAAAATGTAATAAAAAACTGAAAGAGAATTTTTTACTTGTCGATGTTCACCGAAAATTCATAGCACAATGAATCACCAACATATACTTGATTCCTATGCTTATATGGATTTTCAATATATCCAGTTGGAAGAACTACACTTTCCCGTTCAGCATTGTATTTTAGATGATGTTTAACATCGATCGAAGTTTGGAGAAGAAATTCCACCAAAATACGTTCTGTTTCCTCTGAAATATTTTTGTAACGTTCAAACGAACAATTTATCTGCACATTGAACATTTTTTCACACATTTCTGATATAACATTCAAGAGAATTGGATCATTGGCAACATTCAAAAGTTCAGCTTGAGTGGTGTTATATTGTTTTGCATATTTAGCTAAATTCAAATTTGGAAGAACAATACCACGGACCGCTTGCATAACACATAGATCTTCGCATAAATTTCTTGCCTGGAAAATAAAGAAAGTAGTTTCTATTGCTATTCGTACTATATTTTTGTTCAAAAGAGCTTACTCCGAAATGTGTAGGAGGAAGTGGACGAGAAAAATCATTTAGATGTTTATTCAATGATTTCAGAAATATTTTTACTTTGCCGCCATAAGATGTTTCACAACGATTCAAATATACAAAAACATCTCCAATGAAGTTTCTCATTAAATTCCTTCCATAAAGCTTGATCGCATTCCAAGCATGAATATCATTAACATTTCTGGACAAAGACGCAATGGCACATTCCAATTTTGCCAGATAATTTTCAAAACATAAGTTTGGAAGTAATTCGGGCTCATAACTGGAGTTATAAAAGGGCTAAATATAACATGAAAATTTAGTTAGCAATATATCACACTGAATGCTGTTAAATCAATTTCTACTTGCTACAAACCGCGTATTTTCTTTCAGGATTAGGACCCATTTCAATCTGCGTATTAATGAGAAAAGTTAAATAAATAATAAAAAAATGATGATATGAAAGTACCCTACCTCTATCCATTGATGAAGATCTTTGTGTGCTATATAATGTCAATCAGAATAATTGAATTAATTGAAAAGTAAAACGTCAATTTTTATTCAAATCACCTGTTGTAATTGAATTATTTGAATCAGATGGAATGGAACTAACAGCTGAGAGTATCGTTGTAGTGAATATGATATTTAAATATATTTTAAACGGTACAAAGCTGCATATGCAACGATTTATTTTAAACTGTTCAACTTCAACTTTAGCTACCATCATTTATAATAGG